TGCACCGACATAAGTCGGTCAACGCCTGGCTGCCCGCAGCTGCAGTAGGGCTTCCAACAGGTTGAATTCCCAGCAAGCAGAAATCGTCAAGCTCTCCAAGGATCTCAAAGGAAGAAAGTCCTCAGGCAGATGGGTGTCGCAGCTCCCAAGGAATTTGGGATGGCAGAAGGATTCTAGAAGGTTCTCGAGTTGCAGCATTTCCAGCACCGAAGTCTTGAGTGCAGTCAGTCGTCCACAAATTTCTGGCAGGCTCGAAAGCAAGCTGCAAGCAGAAATCGTCAGGCTCTCCAAAACTCTGGAACAAGTTAACTTCTCAGGCAGATTGGATAAGTTGCAGTGACTGGTGCTCAGCTCACGAAGGCACGGTAGCAGCTCTGCAACATTGTGAGGAAGCTGCACGAGCTGGCTAGAGTTGGAAATCAACAGCCAACTCAGATGGCTGCACGGAGATTTTGAAGGAATTGTTAGCCTGGATTTGAGAGAACTCAGACCTGGTAGTTGTAGGAGGAGGAGAGTAGCAGCGGGTGAGTCACTTGAATAGAGTTTGGTCTCATGTGAGATTGCGGGGCTGGCGATGCTTGGGAGGCGAGCGAGGCCTGACACTTGCTTCGCAGTCAGGTAGTCGCAGGCAAGATGGAGAGCAATAAGAGAAGTAAGGCTGGAAAGATCGGGAGCTTCTACCATCAGAGGAGTTGTCAGGGTAAGACCTTGCAATTGCGGTAGTTAGAGAAAGGAGGCCAGCAGCTCTATGTCTTCTCGGAGACAGTTGAGGGAAAGCCTCTTCAGGTGAGTGGAGGAGCCGATCCAAGCCAGATTCAGTCACTGGGTGATTCTCATTATCTATATCATAGTTTACGAATGCAATCCTCCTTCCCACGTGGAAATCCTTTAACTTAGGGCATGATGAGGCGAGGTGACCGAGGAAATCGTCGCTTAGAGTTTCCACGCTACAGATGGAGACGAATCAGATTCGGGAAAAAGGCGACAGCAGATGCGAGACCTTGAAGAGAAACATCGAGATCCTTTCTGAGGAGAAGGGTGGAAACGGAGAGCTGAGCAAGTCGCCGCCAGCGCTGGTAGACGAACGCGACGAGGATTTTGTACGCCGCGGAATTCGCTGAGATCTGCTAAGTTGGTGCGAAAAGCGGCTCGTATATACTATACTTGATATCAGCGAAGCTGTAACGCATGGCATCTGCATAGTACACGGGCCTAGAAACGACCGTCCCAACCACCTTTCACAAATTGGCTACCTATGCTAGGTAGCGCGAGATGGGAAGGAAGGGTTGGGAGGGGAGGATTGGGATTGGTCGATACTTGGGGACCAATCCGATTTTAGTTGTACAAATTGAGTTGGCGAAATTCCCAACACATGCAATGGTTGGATTTGCGACCAATCAGAACCAGGGAGTTGGTTGGCAATGCCAACTCAACTCGAATATTCCTATGCTGTACACTATATGCTAATCTGAATACATTGTTGTAAACCTCTCATTGGTTGGAAATCCAACCCTTTTGCCACATAAGCTAGCTCACCTCCTTGGAGCCATGGAGGAGGTTGAGCAGCTGCTGGGAGTCATTGGAAGGGGTCTGGACTGAGAAGCTCATTCTCAACTTCCCACTCCAAGAAATCAATCTTGAAATGTGATTTTTTCTCTAAGTCATGAGCTCTCCTCACAAGTCTTCCTACAGTAGTAGCTTCTAGTGTAATCTCCTAGAGGAAACCCTACCCAACCAGAGCCTCAAGTGCTATCCTCCAAGAGCTTTCCTCAAGCTTAAGCTACCTCTTGGCGGGGATTCTTGCTAAGTACAACGCTAGGAGATCGTTAGTTGAAATTGTACCGCATTATTATATCATAGGATCTTGGGTGTTGGTTTTGACTCCAACCCTTGTTTGCCCATGCTATAGGGGCAAGGTTTTTTACATTGGTATCAGAGCAAGGTTAATCTTAAGCCTTGTGGGATTTTTCTTGATCTTTTTTTTTTTTTTTTTTTCCCTAGAGGGGGTGATTGGACTTCAATCCAAGACATTGGAGTGAAGATTTCAAGACATCTCAAGCTTCTCCAAGTCATTTTGAAGAGCTTCTTCAAGATCTTCACCAACACCTCCACTTCTCAAGAGAATTTTCCAGAACAACCTCTTCTCCTACTTCCACCATTCAAAAATTGAAGAGAGATCATTTTCTTTCTTACCCACCTTGTTGGTGGAAGACTCCCTTGAGGAGTGTGGTTCAGATCTGCGATCTGTTGCAAGATCTAGCTTAGATCTTGCCCTAGCATTGAGGTGCTAGGGATTGGGCAGCAGATTGTCTTTCATGTAAGTTCTCATGTTAAGTTATTCTGTTAAGAGATCTCTTTATTGAGATTGTCTTGCCCTCTCACTGCGGTGATTGGGACTTGAACAGATTTCTTAAGAGATCTTAAAGAACATTTCAGATCTGTTGCAACCTCTTCCTTATTTTACCATGACTTCAAGTCAAGGTTTGGAGAACTTGGAGAGGGAGGAGCCTAATGTTACTACTGAGGGAGCCAACCTTGCTGCTAATAATAACCAACAACAAGATGAGGCGATGGCTGATATTGAATTGGTGGACCTAAACTTGGAGAATGAGGGCAATGAAGAGCATGGAGAAGCAGAAGGGATTGATGGAGCAGAGGGGGAGGATGATGGCATTGAGGCATGGTCGCTCTCCGATGATGTGGCTAAACTCCAGGCACAAGTCTCCGAGCAGCAGCTTATAATCAATCAGCAGAAGGGACACATCAACTCCCTCAATATTGCTTTGGTGACACAAAAGACCGACACGACTAGGCTGCAAGCCAATCTCAATATGGCATACGGAGAGGTACGGGATCACAAGTGTCTGCTACATAACAGGGGCAATCAAATCCTGGCCCTGGAGAAAACGTGCGACCAGCTGTAAGCTGCTATTACCCAACAGCAGACTACAACTGCCCAGCTGCAATCTACAATCGCCCCGATGCAACCTGCTATTGCCCTCCTGCAGAACCAATACAGGGATATTCGGAGGGGTCCTATCTACCAACACTCACCCGCTACTGCTGGCCCATCGGGCACCCAATCCAACCCGCCGCCTGTTGCATCTCCTTCAACTGCAGCACCTCAGCAGCCTGTCCAGTCTATGTCAACGCCTTTTGGCTCGCTCCCCACAGCGCTCCCAAAATTCATCCATGGCAAGACGGATGTTGAGAGCTGGGTGATATCTGTGGATGAAATGCTGACTCTCCACAACGTGCGCATCAACGATCATGTCACCGCCGTCTCTGGTGCATTGGATGAGCATGCTAGCCAAACCATGTTTGCTAGCCAGAAGCAGCTTGAAGCAAGTGGAAAGCTTTTCACTTGGGACGAGTTCTGTACTGCAGTGAAAGCGGCTTTCCTTGTCAAGACAACTGACTTGGAGGTGCGTCGTCGCCTTGAAAACATCAAGTGCGGCGATCGCTCGGTGCAGAAATATGCACAAGAGTTCGAGGGCGTTCTGCGACTGTTGGGCAAGCAACTGTCTGAGAATGAAGTTATGTATATCTTCTTCCATAACTTGCCCCAGTCCCTGCAGGATAAGCATGTCGCAAATGGCCTCAACAAATGGAGCACCTACAAGGAGCTCAAAGAGGCGGTTCAAGCAACGGACGAGACTGTTCAGATGCTAGCAACGCCTTCCACCAACCAGTCTGAGTCGAGGACTCAGGCGAAGGGTAATGGTGGCAATGGTGGTGGTGGCCAGTGGAATTCCAAGGGGAAGGGCCATGGGTACAAGAGGCCCTTCCACCAGAATGGTAACCAGCAGCGTCCTCCGGCTAAGAGGGCGAATGGTGGCGGTTACAAAGGGCTGCCAAGGGACTTCTCTAATGTCATCTGCCAAGGGTGTGGCCGCCGTGGTCACATGGAATTTCAGTGCCGCTATAAGAATATCATAAAGCATCGTGGTAAGCCTAAGGGCAACACCAATGGCGGCGAAGTCCAACTAGGGTGTGGGTACCTAGTTGGTCAGATAGATCGAGGGGATGAGGCATATGCTTTATGTGACGATGATTTACTAAAGCTAGAGAAGCTTGCTGAATGCAAAATCTCTTATTTGTTTGCCTCTTCTTTTAATAGAAAATCAATGTTTACACCTCGATCGTACCCACTTGATGCTATATCCATCGAAGCGTTACGAGATAAATTCTCAGTCGTTTACTGTGACCTGGACACATTGCCTTCTGTACTCGATATTGTGAGTCATTGTATTCAAGAGCACCCCCTGACTACGGTCGCCGTGGTGACTCGTACAGTAAAGGGTGAAACGTTCAAATCGCTTCGTGGATGGGTTGTGCTGGCGACTTGGGACATGGGACACCATGTGTGGTGGACCAAATCTGAATCCTTTAAACGAGCCCGCCACAATGTCAAGGTGTACTATAAACCCTCGTCGAACATTATGGCATGCCCCATCCGCCCAATGCATCAACAAAATCTACTCCTTTCGGGTCGCGTTAAGGAACATAGCGCGAAAATTCTTGTCGATACAGGTGCCACTATTTCGCTCTTTGATGAAAAGTGGGTCACACTGTATGGTGTCCTCGTTGAAGGACCGTCATGTCCCATTCGTCTTGGTGACGATAGTCTTATCCCAAGCAAAGGACGGACAATGATCGACATGGAAATCCAAGGCTATAGCACAAAGATTCGCACTTACGTTCTCCCCTTGCTTGCAGGTATCGACGTAGTCTTGGGAATGGATTGGTTACGTGCAAATGAGGTTATTATGGATTTCCAAGATAGTACAGTTTCTTTCACCAAGAATGGTGAACCAATCCAGTGGCAGGTGTCTGTCGACACAACCATCCCGGTGGTTCAAATTACGGAAAATCCAGACGTGTGCTTTGCTCTTGCATGTCAATTCGGACAGCATTACCGCATTGCTAACACACTTTTCATCGTACAGCTCGAGGAAGTTGGAACCCCGACGCCTGACATTGAGGATTTCCCACCTCAGATGAAGGTACTGCCGGATGATTTTAATGAGGTTTTTGAGTCTATTCTAGATGGACTCCCTCCTGACTGCGCCGTGGGCCACACCATCCCCGTGGAGCCTGGAAAGCTCCCACCGTTTCGACCTCTGTATCGCCTCAGTCCAGCTGAGTTCGAGGAGGCTAAACAACAGATTAAGGAGTACCTCCGAAAGGGATGGATTGAGCCAAGCGCATCACCTTATGGAGCACCAATCTTGTTCGTTAACAAGAAGGGTGGTGGCTTACGCATGTGCGTCGACTACTGCGCCTTGAACAAGATCACAGTCAAGAACATATATCCTCTTCCAAGGATAGAAGATCTATTTCACTGACTCCAGGGTGCTCAGTGGTTTAGAGCATTGGATCTGGCACAAGGGTACCACCAACTGCGCATCACTGAGGAAGATGTTCCCAAGACGGCATTCCATTCGTCGTTTGGCCACTTTCAATGGCGCGTGCTGAGCTTTGGCTTGACCAATGCTCCGGCCTCTTTTTAAAAGGTCATGAACGATGTGTTTCACGAAGCTATCGGGCACTTCGTTCTGGTTTACCTCGACAACATCTTGGTTTATTCCAAGACTGAATAGGAGCACACTCAACACATAAAATGGGTGTTACGGAAGTTGCGAAAACACAAGTTCTATGCTCGTTTATGGAAATGCCATTTCTATAAACGCGAGCTGGAATATCTCGGTCATCTCATCAGGAACAACGGACTTAAAGTCGACCCCAAGAAGGTGGTGGCTGTCCAGAATTGGCCTGTCCCACAGGACGTGGGCCAGGCCAGGTCCTTCCTAGGCCTGGCCAATTATTTCCGCCGGTTCTTGGAAAATTACTCGACTGTCGTTGCCCCTCTTACAGCACTCACCCGAAAGGGTAGTGCATGGGAGTGGACTCGACAATGTCAAGAGGCGTTAGACGAAGTCAAAACGAAGCTGACCAATGCTCCGGTTTTGGTATTGCCAGATCCTTCTAAACCCTACTGTATGAGGTGGTCACAGACGCCTCAATAGTAGGGATTGGGGCGGTACTCTTGCAGGAGGGTCGTCCAGTGGCATTTGAGAGTAGGAAGCTCTCCCCGGCAGAGCAGCGCTGTACGACGTCAGAACAAGAGTTGCTGGCGGTCGTGCATGCACTGCGAACATGGCGATGTTATCTGGAAGGTGTGGAGTTTGTGGTCACGACAGACCACTGTCCGAACACCTATTTCTCTACTCAAGCCACGCTCACTCGGCGTCAAGCCCGCTGGGCAGAACTCCTTAGTGTGTTCACATTCGATATTTGATACCGTGCAGGTTCTATGAACATGGCTGACCCCCTCAGCACATAGCCGATAGGGGCAGCGACTCGGCTTGATGAAACCAAGGATAAGGCAGTGGTTGCTGCTTGTTTCGGTATTCTTGCCGTGGCTCGAGTGAGTGAGGTCACCTTCAGTGGTTTTCTGAAACGCATCCGCACAGGATATCATATTGTCTCCTGGTTCCAGAACCCACAAAATACGAAGGGCCTCAAGTACGAGCATGAGCTCTGGTGGCGAGAGAAAGAGATCGTGGTACCCCACGTGGGTAACCCGCGGAATGATATAATTGAGGAAGTGCATAGCACCAAGTACGGGGGACACCTAGGTATCAAGAAAACCCGGTGGGCCTTAATTGATGTGTACTAGTGGCCTGGATTGGGGACTGAGGTCCAACAATTCGTGTCACGTTGTGATGCATGAGCACGCAACAAGTCAGACACGAAAAAGCCTGGTGGTTTGCTTCAACCACTGGAGATTCCAGACGAACCTTGGGAGAGTGTCTCATTGTATTTCATCACAGACCTCCCAAAAACACGCGACGGTCATACTGCGATATTGGTCTTTGTGGATCGATTGACCAAAATGGTGCGTTTTGTTGTTACTACAACAGACGTATCTGCGGAAGATACGGCCAAGTTGTTTGTAGCACACGTTTTCCGCTTACACGGGTTACCGCGTGTGCTGGTGTCCGATCGAGATCCGCGCTTTACAAGCCGGTTCTGGCACGAAGTTACACGGACACTCGGAACGAAGCTAAAGATGTCGTTAGCCTTCCATCCCCAAATGGATGGGCAGACAGAGCGGACGAATCGTACACTTGAGCAGATGCTTCGTTCATTCATCGGCCCAACTCAGGATAATTGGGATGACTTGTTACATGTGGTTGAGTTCGCAGTGAACAATTCTGTCCATGAAGGTACCCATAAAAAACCCTTCATTCTGAACTGTGGTCGGCATCCCATGACACCTGCTACGCATGGGATAGGCGGACTGAGAGTCCCTGCCGCGAAAGACTTTATGGGCAAGCAGCAAGAAGCGCTCAAGTCTGCTCGCCGCTGGCTGCAGCTGTCTCAGCAGCGAAAAAAGTCTTATGCCAACATGAAATGCCGGGAAGTCTCTTTTAGGTTGGAGACAAGGTATTATTGAGCACGAAGAACATTCGTCTCAAAATCCCTGGGGCACGAAAGCTGTTCCCTCGATGGATTGGGCCGTTCGAGGTGATCCAGCGTGCTGGTGTGGTACCTTACAAGTTGAAGTTACCCGATACATTGCAGATTCACAATGTCTTCCACGTGTCTCTGCTCAATAAGTACGTTGCTGAAGGCAAGTACTTACCTCCGCCAACGATCGTCCTCGGAGAGGAACTCTTTTATGAGGTCGAGCATGTGCTCATGCACCGTGATCGACAGCGCGGCCGCAAGACAGTACGCGAGTTCCTTATTAAGTGGAAAGGCTATGGGCCTGAACACAACTCATGGGAGCCAGAGGACCATTTGACCGAAACTACAGTTCACGGATATCTGGAAGACCTGGCTCAAAGAGCAGCCTCACAACCAGTGGATGGTGTTGACCATGGTCGTAATGTGATTCGGCGAGCTCGAAGCACCCGTCCCCAGAAGCACTCTACGGCAACGAGGACGTTGCCACCTGGAGGGGGGGGAGTGTAATGCATGGCCTCTGCATAGTACACGGGCCTAGAAACGACCGTCCCAACCACCTTTCACAAATTGGCTACCTATGCTAGGTAGCGCGAGAAGGGAAGGAAGGGTTGGGAGGGGAGGATTGGGATTGGTCGATACTTGGGGACCAATCCGATTTTTGTTGTACAAATTGAGTTGATGAAATTCCCAACACATGCGATGGTTGGATTTGTGACCAATCAGAACCAGGGAGTTGGTTGGCAATGCCAACTCAACTCGAATATTCCTATGCTGTACACTATATGCTAATCTGAATACATTGTTGTAAACCTCTCATTGGTTGGAAATCCAACCCTTGTGCCACATAAGCTAGCTCACCTCCTTGGAGCCATGGAGGAGGTTGAGCAGCTACTGGGAGTCATAGGAAGGGGTCTGGGCTGAGAAGCTCATTCTCAACTTCCCACTCCAAGAAATCAATCTTGAAATGTGATATTTCTCTAAGTCATGAGCTCTCCTCACAAGTCTTCCTACACTAGTAGCTTCTAGTGTAGTCTCCTAGGGGAAACCCTACCCAACCAGAGCCTCAAGTGCTATCCTCCAAGAGCCTTCCTCAAGCTTAAGCTACCTCTTGGAGGGGATTCTTGCTAAGTACAACGCTAGGAGATCGTTAGTTGAAATTGTACCTCATTATTATATCATAGGATCTTGGGTGTTGGTTTTGACTCCAACCCTTCTTTGCCCATGCTATAAGGGCAAGGGTTGTTACAGAAGCGGTGTGGACGGAGGTACCGGGGCTTCGGGTCTAAGGAGGTCCATAAAGCGTTGCTTGGGAGCGTGAGAGTGACGGGTTTCATGAAATGCCACAGGATGCGAATGAGAAGATCATCTGAAAGTCTGTGGATGTGCGTGCGAGACTCCATCGAGACTCGAGTTCACGAAGTTTCAGAATGGTAGAGAGAGATGGATGATTCGGTCACCACTGATATGAAAGCACTTAGAATACTGACATACTCCGCCTATGTTGTTTTCTCCTCTGCGTTCCTGATTCCCATTTCACTTAATGGGTGAAGCGAGGAGCAGAGGAGTGCAGAGCAGAATGGGTGAAGCAACAACAGAATGGGTGAAGCGACAACATAATGGGTGAAACAAGCAAAGCAGGCGTTTTCGCGACTTCAGGCGGTTTGGTTGGAATCTGGGGGCCTGGGGAAAGGGGTCGAAGGTTACAGCTTGTTCATTGCGAAAGTGACAATGTTTTCGCGACACTGCCCGTTAGAGCTTGGTTCGCACAAATAAAGCGGGAGATCTCAACGAACCTCCAAAACTTTGTCAATCACCTCAGGGTTTTAGGCGATGACGTCCGGCGAGCGAAATTTTTGTCGCACCGCTGTTACCCGTGGACTAGAGAACCTCGAGGCGTGCACCGCTGGGCTGCCAGTGTTTGGTTTTCCCACCACTGAGGACACACGACAGCCCGTTTACAAGGTTGGGTTGGTTGGCTTGGGTGCTCCGTGCATGCTCTTCAGCGTCACTCGAGTACATCAAGGATCATGACTCATGGAGTGAGAGGCAGATTCACAGTACAAGCCTAGTAGGAGAAGCAACAGCTACACTCGATAATGGAGATGGCCGACTCAATGATGCAGGCGGCAGATCCCAGAGCGCTGCAGTCAACTTCGATCCACCAATTGTCGGATGATCTGCTAGGTCGCATCTTCAGCTGCGTTGCTTTGTTGCCACGTGGCAACTCCTCGGTGCCCGATCACCATCGGCATCGGTCCCAGCATTCTCGATTGCTAGGGTTTGACTATGTCAGGGTAGGCGAGAATCGGCAGCACTTAGATTCGCCAGTTCGTGCTGCAAACGCCTCATGGAGCTCTAACTCGGATCTTCAAGGTTGCTACATCCTTGTTTGTCGCCGATGGCACCGCGTCGCATGTGCGACTTGCTCACACATCGCATTGTCGCAGAAGCAGCGGCTGTGCGCCCGACGCTTCCTGAACGGCCTTCCTTCCTTCCCGCCGCTGGCATCGCTTACCTTACAGGATGCGATCACCTGCTGATTCAGATAGCCGCCATGTGTCCATCGCTCACTCATTTCCACCTAGGCAACATGAGCAAGGCGCGGTGGCCCAGGTATTACACGACTACCAATGATGGCCCGAGCCGCGATCCGCGGCATTCCTTCTTTGCTGCTGGGCTTGCGGCTCTTTTTCTTTCCTGCCCGCGGCTCGAGTCCCTGCAGCTCCACCTTCCGCCAGATCTGACCGTCCTTCCTCCGTCAATCTGCGAGCTGAATCGCTTGACGGCGTTAGTCCTCACCGCGTCGGGGCTGGAACACCTTCCCGACGGATTCTGTCAGCCCTCCGCTCTCGTCCGTCTGTCTACTGCCTCGGGAAACCTGAAGGAGCTTCCGCCCGGCTTTTCTACAAGCTTGAACGATGACGTGTGCACTCCCGACGACTTAATCGACTTCAATGACGATGATGGCGTTAGTCGAGGCGACGCAAGGTGGAGTCGGACCAGCCAAGGCGATGTCAGTAAGACGAACGAATCGCCCGCACTCCGCCTCCCCACGCTCTCCGCCCTCCGCCACCTCTCCCTCTCCGGCTGCCGCTCCCTCCGCACGCTCCTCGCATCCCTCCCTGCTGCCCTCCCCCGTCTCGAGTCCCTCGAGCTCTGCAAGTGCAGGAGGCTTTACGCCATTCCCCTGCGCCTCCCTGCACGCCTCCCCTGCTTGCGCGCGCTCACTCTCGCCAATCTCCCCGCAGCCCTACTCGCCCCCCTCCCCGCGCTTCTCTCCGTTGTTCCCCCTGCTGGGGGAGGCGCAAGAGTTCTCGCACCTGGTGGCGCCACAGCAGCGGAAGCGGAAGGCGGAAGTTTTGGGGGAGTCTCGAGAGGGGGCAGGGGAAATTTTTCTAGCAGGGCTGCTTGTAGAGAGGACAGGAGTGTGGATTTGGAGCTTTTGAAGTTAGTTGGTTGGAAATACGATATTGAGTTACCACGAGACAGTTTCGCCTCTTTATCTCTCTCCCTCACCCACATAACCATCGCAGATTTTTCATCTCTCTCCTCCCTCCCAGACGAGCTCTCCCTCGTGCCCAACCTCCACTCCCTCACTCTCTCTGGCCTCCCACTCCTCTCCTCACTCCCCTCCTCCCTCCCCTCCTCCGAAGTCATCTCCAGCTTGTTTCTCCTCTCATTCTCCTCCGTCCCCTGTCCCGTCCCTTGTTGCCCACCCGTGGGTGCGTTGTCCCACGGTGGTTGTCCTGTGTCTCCTCGTGCTTGTGTCCACCCTATGGTTCTTCGTTCTTGTGCTCCTCCAGTCCCTATCCTACCGCTCCCTCCTCATTCATCCCTACCCATGTCCTTTGCTCCTTCCTCTAACTTTGCTCGTACTACTCATCTCGTTGTCTCCCGCTTGCTTGCGTCTCTTGTTACGGACCCTACCCTCCTCCTGCTGGTGTCTCCGCTCGTCCGGGGTGCAATTGCCCTTGGCAATGACGTTCTAGAGGATAGGAAGTACGAGCTGGCTTTCCTTGCGGCTGCTGTACCTCATCTCTGCGTCATGCTTCTGTCCCCTGAGGGTGACCCGGACGCCCTGGATATCCCTACCCCAAGCTCGTACACTGAGGCGGTCTCGGGGCCCTGGGTAGTCTAGTGGATATAGGCCATGAAGAAAGAGATGGCATCTTATAGATCCACTGGCACTTACGTCAATACAGTTCCTCCACCTGGGGCGAACATAGTCGATGGCATGTGGAACTATAAGGTGAAGCTTTCACCTGGAGAGAGCCGCCACAGTTCAAGGCACTGTATGTGGCCAGGGGCTTCAGCGAGCGAGAGGGTGTGGACTTCTTCCGGACCTTCTCCCCCACCCCGAAGATGACTACTCTTCGTGTGCTCCACTCTCTGGACTTCTCGAGAGCATTATTGCAGGGAAGTCTACATGAGCAGATCTACCTACAGCCCACCAGGCTTCATTGGGTCCTTCGATCCTAGGACCCAGTACAGCCTACGCCGCCATGTTTACGGTCTGCGCCAGGCATCCCGTGAGTGGCACGACACGCTCCACACTATACTTGCGGCTCTCCACTTCTTCTCGTCCTTTCCTGACCCCACACTCTTCGTTCATGCTGGTCAGACTCCGCTCTACATACTTGTGTACGTAGACAACCTTATCTTTGCTACACCAGACAGAGTCGCATGGGCCTCCGTGAGCAGGTCGAGCGTAGTGGTCCATACGCAGAGCTAGTGGGGTGCCTCATGTACCTGATGACTTGCACTCATCCAGATCTAGCGTACTCTCTCAGTATCCTTCCTCGCTTCGTTGCGACAAGCAGCACCAACTAGAACACAGGCCGACTGCTTAGAGGGCATTGCGCTATCTGGCGAGTACATAGAAATGGGGCTTGTGCTGGGACGACGGGAGCTAGTGCTCCTCAGTAGACGTACGATGCATCATGGGCTGACAACTTGGAGAAGCTTAGGTCCTCACATGGCTACTCCTTTGGCCTTGGTACGGGTGCCGTCTCTTGGCGGTCCACTAGGTCGTCGTTTGTAGCTCAGTCCATTCGTAAGGCAGAGGTCTACGATGGTGCGATGGTTGCTCAGGAGCTCCGCTGGCTGCCATTCATTCTCACTGACTTAGGTGAGCAGCCAAGGTCTGCCTCGGTCCTGTTTGCTAATAACAGGGCTATGATCCTCCTGTGTTAGGAGGCTCAACTTGAGGGCAAGGCCAAGCACATCCAGCTGTGGTACTTCGTGCTGCGTGAGTTGCAGCAGCGTGGCCCGGCCCGTGTAGTACGGTTGGCCTTAGAGGCCAACACTGCTAATATCTTCACCAAGGCCCTTGGGCTTCGTGACGATTAGTGGTTCTGTACTCCGCTTGGTCTAGACTTAGTTGCCAATGACATGCTTGTATCCTGATCTAGACTATACCGGCTTTGTATAGGTATATTGTTTCTGTTAAATTATATATTTGATATATATAATGGTAGGCTTGGTAGGTGTTACTGGATCCTACTGTAGAGGGTACAACCCCCCTTCTTGTATCCCTCTCTTCTTTTCAAAGCTCTCTTCTCTCTCGATATTTTCTCCTAGCCTAAACCCTCACACCATTTCATGGCTCCTCTACCCACCTAGCTAATTTGACATGGTTTCAAAGCAGGTTGCTCTTCCTGGTCCTGCTTATCACGCTTCCGACGCGCACTCCTCCTCTCTCTCGCGCTGCCATGGCGGCCGCGTCGTGCTGCTGTGGCGGCGTCGTCGTGCCGCCGGCCGCGTCGTGCTGCCGCGGCCGTCTCGACGCACTGCCGTGGCGTCGCGCTGTTGTGGCGTCGACATCAAGCCGTGGTGGCGTCGTCGACGTCAAGCCGTGGCGGCATGACGGCGCCGTCGTGCTGGCGTGGCAACATGCTGCCAGCGCGCGTATGGCACGGATGGCTGCGGCCAGCGCCCCGTCTTAGTGCTGGCCAGCACACCCGCATGCAGCCAGCTTGCCACACGGGGTGGCACGCTCCCGGGCTCCGTTGCTGAAGCCCCGCCCCCCTTCCCCTGTGTCCCCTCTTCCTTGCCGCAGCCGACGGCTGAATCGCGCTGACCGTCCCACCGTCGCGGAGCCCGGCCACACCGCCGAGTGCTGCAAGCTCCGCCGCCGCCGGCAGCTGTCGTCGAAGCCGCCGCTGCCGCAGCTGGTGCCGCTGGCCACACCGCCGCCGCTGTCGACGCTGCCGCCGTCGCCGCTGTTGCAGCCGCTGCCCTCGCTGTCGACATCGTCGCCTCACGCGCCGAGGGGCTGACCCTGCTGGAGTAGCCGCCTCTGCTGCTAAGTATGGGGGTGCTAGGCTTAGGGGGTGTGTGGCTTAGTGTGCTGTGTGTGTGGTGGGCTTTCAGCTACCAAGCCTAGGGGGTGTGTTAAATTATATATTTGATATATGTAATGGCAGGCTTGGTAGGTGTTACTGGATCCTACTGTAGAGGGTATAACCCCCCTTCTTGTATCCCTCTTTCTTTTCAAAGCTCTCTTCTCTCGATATTTTCTCCTAGCCTAAACCCTCGCGCCATTTCATGGCTCCTCTACCCACCTAGGTGTTACAAGACTAGCTTAGCTAGGAAGCCATAAAATGGCATGAGGTTTAGCTAGGAGCTAGGAGGAGCCATGGAAATGGCGAGAGGTTTTAGGCTAGGAAAGTTGAGGAGAGAAAAGAGAACTAGAAAGAAGAGAGAGGGATACAAGGAGGGGTGTTATACCCTCTACAGTAATGTTCAGTAACCACTACCAAGCCTACAATTATATACTAACATATATAATTTAACACTAGCTACTTTGACAGTGTTGAAAGTACCTCAAAAGACTTGAGCGTTTCTGAAGTGTAACACTACACTCGAGGAAGACTACAAGGGGTACGCGAGTCAACGGAGGTTACACGAGGGGGCGGACAAAGAACACGAAGGGTCTGGGACTCAAAGAGTCGCAACTGGAGGTTGCGACTGACCGTTACAACAGCGCGGATGGTAACCGAAGTGACAATCGAGTCGCTGTGCGACTCGATAAACCGCTACTGCAACTGTACTCCACAACTGTTTTCTTATCTTCTATATATTGCTGTATGCTTGTCTCTTTAATCAATCACTTGTTCTCAAATACTAGTACAAGGGTTCAACTGCCTCAACTTCCGCTGCACTACTCCAAGTCTCAAGTCTCTACAGCTGGGACTTAGTCTCTGCAAAAGATCCTAAGGGCTTTTCTCAGCCCAACATGGTATGAGAGCTGGTCAGAGACCAAAACTCCCAGCAACTACACTCCATCAACAACCAGCAACTCAACTTGATTCAACAACTCCATTGATTACAAGACATGGACAACAAGGGCAAGAAAGTCTCTACGGGCTCACCCAGCGCCCAAGAAACTCAACACGGCAACTCTGGTCTGCACACCTCAGGACTGCAGACAGAGACCGGGACTGCTCAAGAAACAACGGGAAGAGTACCAGAGATGGTGACCCCGTCTCCTTCTTCAAGTGTGGACCCGAATCTCATGGAGAGATTCTTCAGCTTCATGTCACACTTCGACCAGCAGCAGCAGACAAGGACACCTGCGCACTCAACACAAAGCAATGGAGGGAATATGGGATTAGCGCCGATGAGCCTCGACAACTCATCCTTCGGGCGACACAATCAAGCGCCTACCTTTGCGCCTTATCACTCTTCACCAGGGACGTTCGAGTTCATGCCGCCCCGTGCCCAACCAACAGCAGCTGCATCACAACAAACACCAAACGAGATTTTAAGTCTCCAGGCACAGTTTTCACACGTGATTAAACTGCAGACATCATCACCGTTCAACGGACACGACTTCTTTACCTGGAGCTTCGAGTTCGAGCTGCTGATGGAGGCCGCGCATCTTCTGGGATACTTCAACGGGTCCCTGCCATTCCCAAGCAACGGCACTGGGAAGGAACAAGAAATCTTCACGTATCAGTCGCTGCTGGCGTATACGGTACTCCTGAGAAACCTGTCACCACAAGAGCAGCAGAGCATCAGAACGTATCGGAGTTATGGAAACTCCGCGGAACTCGCATGGCATCATCTCAAATGCCTCTATCAAGCAAACGACAGCGTGACACAAAGCAGACTCATGCAACAACTGACAACAATACAGATGAAGACCGGGGAAAAGGCGATGCAGTATATGAGTCGCTGTCAGACTCTCCGCGACCGCCTGCTTCGGTGCGGAGGAACGATCACTGAAGAAAGCTTCGTGACACTTGTCCTCGCCGGGCTCGGACCAGAATGGAGAACCACACGATCGCTTCTTCGCGCCCACGGAAGGATCTCGGAGATGCACCTCTGCGCCGAGCTTCACGCTGAACAACAGGAGATGGATCTGTTCGAAGAAAGACAACCAAGGAAGCAACAGCAGTTAGTCTTTTACACTCAACGAAGAAATGACAACAACTACAACCGACGCAGCAAGCAAGATCAACGTGACAACCGAGGACTCACCATCGTGCCGCCGTTCTGCCACAACTGCCAGACTTCCGGGCACTCCAAAGTCAACTGCAACCGCCCTCGCGTTTACCGTGCAGCAGACCCACAAGTCGCTTCCACTCAAGCAAGTCCTCCAAGGTGCTCTTCAACATCTGCACAACAAACACCCAACATCATCAACTGCATGGTACACATCGACAACTGCGCACCCGGTTCACCACCCACCTACGCACCAGACGAAGAGGAATTCCCGCCGCCGCGCTCACAAGGACTTCAGGTCAACCCGACATACGCTGCAGTCGCCAACGCCGAACCCACCGGGCGAAACACCTGGTTCTTGGACAGCTGCTGCGGTCAACACATGTGCTCCTCGGGACGCTTCGTGCAACAGGAGAAACGACTCAACCGCGACGTCGTCATCACCGTCGCCAACAACGAAAACCTGAAGACAAACAGACAGGGCGTGGTTCAGTTACAATCCATGGAGACGAATGTCATACTTCAACTCAACAAGGTGCTCATTGTCGACAATCTGGGATACAACCTACTAAGCGTAAGCCAACTAATGGCCAAGGGAATTCACCTGGAGTGCGACTCTTACTCCAACGAGTTCCGGCTTTACCACGGGAAGGGCGGCCTCTTCATCGGTCGTGCCCTCCTGAAGTCCGGCGTCTTCGTGTTGGACTTCGTCCCCGACCGCGGAACTGCCGACAGCGATGGCATCGTATCATTCGCCGCCTGGACTCACCCGCCGGATCTTGATCCCGACTTCGACAGTGATGGCTTCTGGCACTCCAACACCATACCTGCAGCAGAGAGAACACGAGCATTAGCAGTCATCAAACAAGAAAGACAAGTACCCGCAAGCGTCCCAACAAAACCATCACCTGCAGTATCGGCAGCAGGACCCAGCCGAGTACCACCACCAGCGACACGAGGACCGCCAACCGAAGCAGACCAACTTATGCCCGTCACACGAGAAGCTTGTCGAAGTCCCGCCTCGATCGTCGCGTTCTTCTCCAACGCCGACATCTACCACCGCTCGCCCGGCCACCGCGCTCCCGACGACATCTGGCACCAACGTCTCGGACATCCTGCAAACAGCACGATACTTCAAACAATCCAAGCAGAGGTGTTAGAACGCAACGCCCTTCTAACGACGAGCGGCCAGGAACTCCGACGACCACGCGCACGGTGCTTCACATGCCCCGAAGCAGATCTTCCTCATCAACCTTTCCCAGCCCATCACAATCCAAGCGCACCCACTTACGCTCCGATGGAAAAGGTCTACAGCGATATCTTAAACATGCCTCGAGACGATACCGAAGCCGACTTCAACTACGTCATCACGTTCATCGACGCCGCAACCAGATATGTCTGGCACTTCAATCTCAAGACACGCGATCAAGCCTTCGAAGCCTTCACAACATGGCTTCCCATCGCCGAACGAGAATCAGGAACAAAACTCAAGAGCTTCCAGTCAGATGGTGCACTGGAATACCAGTCACAACGCTTCAGGACCTATCTCGCGGAAAGGGGAATCCGACGCCTGGTGTCTCTGCCCTATGCTCACCAGCAGCAGGGGGTAGCAGAACGCATGAACCGGACCTTGCAGACGACGATGCGAAAACTGCTTTTGGGGATGAGGCTGCCCAACGCACTGTGGCCAGACGCGATGACACATGCTGTTCACCTGCACAACCTGCTGTCCTCGTCATCACTTCCCAACAACGCATCACCGCACCTGTTGTGGACAAGAAAAAGGGGCAGCACAAAATTACTCCGCGTTTTCGGCTGCATGGTACAGTACAGACCCCACACAGCCCGAGCAGGACGCTTCTCACAAAGAGCTCGATGGGGATTACACCTCGGCATCGCAAAACATTTTCACGCGTGGAAAATTCTCGACATACAAGACAAAAACACGGTGGCATCACGAGATGTTATCTTCTACGAACGACTGACGCTGCAGCATTACCTGGACAACCTTGCCAACACACAAGACCCCACCGACGGCTTCGCGGGCCTTCGCTCCTTCGCTGACCATACTGCCGAGGCTGACGCAGCAGAAGAAGACGTACCTGGAGCCTCGGAAGCTGCCGGACCACTCCCATTCTGTTCCGTACCTGTTCCACTCGATGAAGATAATCCCCTCGATAGCAACAACCTCGACACCTTTTACCACTTCGCCGACCAAGGCTACGCTACACCTCACCCCGTCGACACGAATATTTCGGAACGCATCGGCCCCAATTTCTTACCTGACCCCGAACACGGTGACGAAGCAGCTTATTCCGGGAATGAAAATTCCCCTCGACACACGCCCACGGGACTCCAGATTCTAGGCCTCTGGGTCTCCGTCCAGAATCCGCCGCCGCCTTCTCCGCGAGAGCCTTCAACGTTGTCGCAGGCTCTGGGGGGGGAACATAAGGCAAGATGGAAGGAAGCAATGGAAAAGGAGTTAAAAGCTCTGCAAGACCGAGAAACATGGAAACTGGTACCTGCAACGAGCATCAACGGGAAAAACATTCTCTCGGGGAAATGGGTGTACCGCATCAAGACCAACTCAGACGGTTCCATCGAACGATTCAAAGCTCGATGGGTCGTACGAGGCTTCGATCAACGATACGGAGCCGACTACACAGAAACCTTCGCTCCAGTCTCCCATCACACCTCATTACGCATCCTACTCGCCGTCGCGGCCACGAAAAAACTGCCACTACGCCAAATCGATGTCGCGAATGCATTCCTATACGCACCTGTGGACGCTGAGATCTTCGTCGAACAACCCCACGGATTCATCAACGATCCCACGAAAATATGCCGACTGACAAAATCCCTATACGGGATCAAGCAAGCCCCGCGGCTCTGGCAGCAGCATCTCCACGGCCGTCTCGCAAAGATCGGCTTCCTACAATTACCGCATGACCAAGGGATGTACCGACTGCAGAAGGGAAGAGATTATGTTCTGCTCATCGTCTACGTCGACGACCTGCTCTACATCGGCTCCACTATCGACATCGCCACCTGGTTCGAAGGGGAGCTGAAAGAAGATTTAACTCTCACGGTGTCCGACGAAGTTACCCAGTACCTAGGACTGAACATCGTCGAAAACGACACGGCGTTCTACCTACACGCTGGAAAGTACTCAAGCACCGTCGCGAAGAAATTCGGTCTAGCACCGACTGCGGTCCCAACTCCCTACCGCTACGGGAACAACAGTAGCGCCTCCACAAAACTCCCCGCGAAACAAATCCAGGAGTATCAACAGAAGCTCGGCTGCCTACTATTCGCAGCAGTAACCTGCCGACCCGACCTATCCTATAGTGCGAGTCAGCTGGCGACACATCTGAAGCAGCCGCAACAGGAAGATCTCGAAGAACTCAATCGAGCGCTACTCTACTTCGTCTCCACGCCGACGATCGGGCTCACCTACAGCAAGGCAACAACACCGTCCGTACGACTACTCGGATACGTCGACGCCGACCACGCGGGAGACAGCGAAAATCGACGGTCTAGGACGGGCTACATCTACCGACTAGAACCTATCGGAACTATCTCCTGGCAGTCGAGCAAACAGGAGTTAATCGCACTATCCTCAGCCGAATCAGAGTATGTCGCCCTTTGTACTGCAACCAAGGAAGGACTCTACCTGCGGGAGTTACTCGAGGAAGCGAAGATCGCGACCCTACCCGCCTTCTCACTCCTCTGCGACAACCAATCTGCGATCAAAATCGCGAACAAGGATGGCTTCGCCAACCGAACCAAGCACATCGCCCTACGGTACTTCTTCGTCAAGGATGAAATCGCGAAGGGGAGACTTCAACTCAGTTACTGCCCGACGACAGAAATGGCCGCAGACTATTTGACGAAGAAATTGGCGAAGACAAAATTCGACCACTGCATGTTGTTGACCGGGCAGACAAACGTCACCGGATCTGAACAAGTCAGCACTCCAGAAACGAAGGGGAGTGTTGAAAGTACCTCAAAAGACTTGAGCGTTTCTGAAGTGTAACACTACACTCGAGGAAGACTACAAGGGGTACGCGAGTCAACGGAGGTTACACGAGGGGGCGGACAAAGAACACGAAGGGTCTGGGACTCAAAGAGTCGCAACTGGAGGTTGCGACTGACCGTTACAACAGCGCGGATGGTAACCGAAGTGACAATCGAGTCGCTGTGCGACTCGATAAACCACTACTGCAACTGTACTCCACAACTGTTTTCTTATCTTCTATATATTGCTGTATGCTTGTCTCTTTAATCAATCACTTGTTCTCAAATACTAGTACAAGGGTTCAACTGCCTCAACTTCCGCTGCACTACTCCAAGTCTCAAGTCTCTACAGCTGGGACTTAGTCTCTGCAAAAGATCCTAAGGGCTTTTCTCAGCCCAACAGACAGTTTCTATACCGGTTGTCTTGTTACACTTTTACTGGCCTTCTGGCCCTTCTCTCAGTGGCCTGACTAGTAGTGCTGCTCTGGGTTGCTGTATCTTGTTAAACGTGGACTACCCAGGCTAGGGGTGTGTTAGAGTTCATATTTATATGCTAGGTGTGTTGTGTATGAACTTTAGCTTAGCTATGTGCATTTTATAGAGAGGATAATACCTAGATACTAACCCTTGTCTTGCCCTTGCCTCATCAGTTCATTGTCTCTTGATAATATGTTTTACATGGCCCACACAACTTCGGTCAGGGTCAGAGGTGAGCTGTGCCAGCATCATCGCCGCAAGGCCTACTATTGGACCGCACGGCATCGATCCTGCGCGCCTATCATATCCGCATCTTTTGGACCGATTTCGGGAGAATAGCCCGTGCGGGGTTTGATTATTCCATGATGGCATTCACTCCTTCCTCGCATGGTCCCACCCCGTGTACACAAACTCCTTGGCCATCTCCTGCGCCTTCCACGCAGCTGCAGCAGCTGCCACCGCCAGCAGGGCAAGCGGCACACGGGCACGCAGGGAGGTGGAGGCGGCAGCAGCAGCAGCGGCGAGCAGGGAGAGCAGTGGCAGCAACAGCTGCGCTCGCTGCAGGGCGGAGAGGGCAGAGGAGCAGGAGGTGCAGTGCGCTGTGTGGGAGGCCAGGCGGTCCAGCACCACCTCCTTGGGCTCAGGCTGGGGCGGCAGGGACACGCCTGAGAAGGCTGGCGGATAGGCCACCGCGCCACCTGGTGGACGAAAAAAAAACGAGGACCCACCCGCATTGTTGAGTCCCCTGCATATTTGGTAGCTGAGAAGATGGTGGCATGAAAGCACATCAAGGTGCCAGCATGACCCACCACCCACCTGCATACTTGGCGAGCCACTGTCTGAAGGCCACCACCGAGAGGTCAGCTGAGGTGGGCATGTAGAACGCCCTCCACGCGCTCCCCTTCACACTCCCCGCGCCCTGCGCCTCACCCTTCCCGTCCTCTGCCGTCCCTCCTCCCTGGTGCCCCCTGCCCCCGCCTGCCGCCATCTTCAGCATCTGCTGCTCCCTCTGCTCCAGCACGCGCTCCTGGCAGTGCAGGAAGTAGGAGTCGCCTGGTGGGCAGGGAGAGGGGAGACGCGTGACAAGAAAGTGAGTGGACAAGAGACAGATGCCTTCTTCACAGGCCTGTCGGGGGAGACGTGGAACATTGATGTCACCATCACTGACGTCACCATCACTGGTCCGGTCCTACTGAACAGGAACCCCCTGCCCCCTAAGCCGTCAGGTTGGGCAGCAAGGGAAGCGGCATGGCGAAAGGAGGATGACTAGCACGTTCTTCGGCATCATTGCGGCTGCGGCCGCGGGAGCCGCTTCCGACTTGGTCATCTCGCACTTCTGGCAGCGTTGCTCCGTGATGCTCCAATGCTGCCACGCGAATGCACTTGGCGTCAAGGCATGTGAAGGCATCCCGGCTGCACATCCCCAAACCCCCGCAGATCCATGGCCGCTTCACCTAGGGGACCTCCTCCAAACGCTGGAGGGGGAGTGGGGGGACTCGGGGAGAAGAGGAAAACATTAGCTAGGGCTGTCCTACTTGCATGTTTCCTGCCCCGCTACATCTTGCATGTTTCTCTACATGGACCGCTTGAGGGGGAACAAGGGTTGACGGAACAAGAGGGAATTCAAAAGCCTACGAAGGAAGAGCGGAGCATATGGGGGTGTGACAAACAAGGTCTCATTTGGGGAGGGCGGGGGAGCGGTGGGAAGGAGGGTCTGAGAATGAGGTAAAAAACAGCCCAAATCCTCACCCCCCATCCTCTCACCTCCCATCCTCTCACCTCCCATCCTCTCACCTCCCATCCTCTCACCTCCCATCCTCTCACCCCCCAACCTCTCACCCGCCATCCTCTCACCCCCCATCCTCTCACCCCCCATCCTCTCACCCCCCATCCTCTCACCCCCCATCCTCTCACCCTCCATCCTCTCACCCCCCATCCTCTCAACCCCCATCATCTCACCCCCCATCATCTCACCCCCCATCCTCTAACCCCTTATCCTCTCAACACCCACCCTCTCACCCCCCATCCTCTCAACCCCATCCTCTAACCCCCTATCCTCTCAACACCCACCCTCTGACCCCCCATCACCTCAACCCCCACCCTCTCACTCCCCAGCCTCTCACTCCCCATTCTCTCACCCCCATGCTCTTGCCCACATTCTCTTGCCCCCATTCTCTTGCCGCCATTCTCTCGCCCACATTCGCTCCCCCCCATTCTCTCAACCCCCATTTTCTAACCCACCATTCTCACCCCCCATTCACTCTCATGGCGAATCTCACCAGCATGCGCACCCCGCACTCACCGTCGAACACCTGGTGGTTGCGCAGGTGCATGAGCCAGGGCGGCAGCGAGGGCAGGTGCTTGCTGTCGCCGCGCCTCAGCAGCTGCACCTGCAGCGCCATGCTGCTGCCGGGCGCGCTGGGCGTTATGTAGAGCAGCAGCAGGTACTCCGTGGGGGCCAAGGGCGCCGCCCTCTGCCACGGGAAGGAGAACTTGGGCGGGCGTGGGCTGCAGGGTGGGTGTTGAAGCGAAGCAGGGAGCAGAAAAGGGGAGGGAGGACGGGGGTGGGGGGGCGGGGGGAGAACGCGGGGAAGGTGTAGAGGCAGAGGAAGGAAGAATCGGCTGCTGCATGGTGAGCATGGTGCTACTGCCGTCTGCAGACGGCGTCATGTCGACATGGCACAGGGTGAATGCGTTGGGATGCAGTGATTCGGGCAACCCTGCCTCGCTGCCGAACCTTGCCCAACAGGGGCCGGTAGGAGGGGGGGAGGGCGATGAGCACAGGAGGGAGGGAGAGTGCGGAGGAAGTGAAGGTGAACGAAGGAGGCGAAATATGTGGCAAACAAGGTCGCTGGGGTGGAACTTAGTGTGGGTGGGACCAGGCTGCAACTAGGGTGAAACCAGGGTGAAACCAAGGTGCAACTAGGGTGAAACCAGGGTGAAACCAAGGTGCAACTAAAGTGAAACCAGGGTGAAACCAAGGTGCAAGTAGGGTGAAACCAGGGTGAAACCAAGGTGCAACTAGGGTGAAACCAAGGTGCAACTAGAGTGAAACCAAGGTGCAACTAGGGAGAAACCAAGGTGCAACTAGGGTGAAACCAGGGTAAAATCAAGGTGCAACTAGGGTGGAACCAGGGTAAAACCAAGGTGCAACTAGGGTGGAACTAGACACGATCAAAATGCGATTGCAATTTAAATCGCATCGCACAGGGGCGCGATGAATAAAAAAAGCGATGCGATTTAATATCGCATAGCGCGATTTCTATTTTATTTTTAAATAAATCGCACATCACATTTTCTGCGCGATGGTTATTTAAACCGCATGCGATGTTTATTTAAATCGCGCGATACGATTTTAAATCGCATCGCATATTACTTCAATTAAAAAAACACCTCAGAATTCCGGAAAAAAACAACACCGATGGAATTTTGGCCACCGACAGATCGCGCGCGATTTTTAAAACATCGCAAATCGCAATTAAATCGCGATTTTCAGCACGATTAAAACGCGATTTAAATTAAATCGCGCGATAATTAAATCATTGCATCGCGCGATTTTTTTTTTTTTTTTTTTTTTTTTTAAATCGCCATCGCAAAAACGCGATTAAACGCGATGCGATGCGATTTAATCTGCCCATGTCTAGGTGGAACCAGGGTGCAACCCGGATGAAACCAGGGGCACGCAGGTCATCATGTTTACCATATTTCTAGAGGAAAGAAGAGAGATGCGGCGAATGGTGGTACGTGACGAGTGGAGAGATGTGACTGTTTCCAAGACGCACAAGAGGAGAAAATTTCGGGAGAGAACACCTTTTGGGAGTCCGTGTGGATGGTGCAGAAACTCATGACACCGGCCTACGAGGTGCTGAGAGCCGTGGGCAAGAGATCTTTGCTCGTGGGCAAGAGATCTTTGCTTGTGGGCAAGAGATCTTTGCTCGTGGGCAAGAGATCTTTGCTCGTGGGCAAGAGATCTTTGCTCGTGGGCAAGAGATCTTTGCTTGTGGGCAAGAGATCTTTGCTCGTGGGCAAGAGATCTTTGCTTGTGGGCAAGAGATCTTTGCTTGTGGGCAAGAGATCTTTGCTCGTGGGCAAGAGACCTTTGCTCGTGGGCAAGAGACCTTTGCTCGTGGGCAAGAGATCTTTGCTCGTGGGCAAGAGATCTTTGCTCGTGGGCAAGAGATCTTTGCTTGTGGGCAAGAGATCTTTGCTCGTGGGCAAGAGATCTTTGCTCGTGGGCAAGATATCTTTGCTCGTGGGCAAGAGATCTTTGCTCGTGGGCAAGAGATCTTTGCTCGTGGGCAAGAGATATCTGCTCGTGGGCAAGATCTATGGCCACATACTTGAGGCAATTATCATGACAAATGAGGTGGCAGAGGCAGCGGGAAAGAAACCCACCTTCCTGGCTGCGCATGCCTGTGCATGGCCTGCCGTGTGTGTACTTCCTTGCTCCGGCTTCACCTTCCCAATCCTCCCATGAAATTCCTTGGCCACAGCCTTCAACCCCGCACACCCTTCTCGCTTGCTTCACAGACGCCTTCCTTCACTGTGAAGAAAACCAGGGCGCCTTATGCCAAGGACAAGGCTGCATTCCTTGCCTCAATCACAGAAAACAGTGCTCGGTGGTGGGATGGCCGGCTGCACAACCTCCTGCATGCCTTGGGGTGGCTGCTAAGCCCCAAAAGCCAATTGCTGAGGAGGAGGAGGAGGAGGAGGAGGAGGAGGAGGAGGAGGAGGAGGAGGAGGAGGAGGAGGAGGAGGAGGAGGAGGAGGAGGAGGAGGAGGAGGAGGAGGAGGAGGAGGAGGAGGAGGAGGAGGAGGAGAAGGATTGGTGAGCGGGCATGAGGTCACATCTCTGTGTATACCGCATTTATTAACGTTAAACGTTTACCCACGCCTATAAAATCGTGAACAATGTCGCTAAACGTTTACCCACCCGTTGGACCAATGTCGGAAAAAAACGACTGGAAAAGCGGTCGCAGTATTAACTGGAAAATACAGGAAAAACAACTGGAAAATACAGGCCATATTATACGACCCCAGTATTTTTTGGCCTTGGACCAATCGACCATCAGAAATTCCCACGAGTTTCCGCTCCAACACGTTTTGCTATGTACCCCAATCCCACATGTTTTGCCAAGAAATTCTTTCTAGCTCTTACACTAGTACCGATAGTGCGGGCGAGAATAGGGGCCGGTAGTACCTCATGGTGTTGTGGCATGCACCTCATGCTGTTCTGGCGCACACCTCATGTTGTTGTGGCGCGCACCTCATGGTGTTGTGGCGCGAACCTCATGGTGTTGTGGCGCGCACCTCATGCTGTTCTGGCGCGCACCTCATGCTGTTCTGGCGCGCACCTCATGGTGTTGTGGCGCGCACCTCATGGTGTTGTGGCGCGCACCTCATGCTGTTCTGGCGCGCACCTCATGCTGTTCTGGCGCACACCTCATGTTGTTGTGGCACGCACCTCATGGTGTTGTGCCGCGCACCTCATGCTGTTCTGGCGCGCACCTCATGGTGTTGTGGCGCGCACCTCATGGTGTTGTGGCGCGCACCTCATGGTGTTGTGGTAGTACACGAGCTGCGGCGCCTGGAAGCGGAGGTACGTGGGGAAGCCGAACACGTGGATGGGGCCCTCGAAGCCCTGCACGCCCTGTGAGGTGCACGCACGAGCGGTACAGGCAGGGGGAGTCCAGTGCATGCAGGGTCGGTACATGCATATGTAGCAATATAGGTGCACAAGGGAGTGTTCATGTGTGTATGTGTTCATGTGTGTATGTGTGTATGTGTTCATGTGTGTATGTGTTCATGTGTGTATGTGTTCATGTGTGTATGTGCTCATGTGTGTATGTGTTCATGTGTGTATGTGCTCATGTGTGTATGTGTTCATGTGTGTATGTGCTCATGTGTGTATGTGCTCATGTGTGTATGTGTTCATGTGTGTATGTGTTCATGTGTGTATGTGTTCATGTGTGTATGTGCTTGCACGCACGTGCATATGAGTGAGCGTGTGTGTGTGTGTGTGTGTGTGTGTGTGTGTGTGTGTGTGTGTGTGTGTGTGTGTGTGTGTGTGTGCAGATTGCTTCCCCAAATCTCACAGCATGATATTCCCACCCCCACTCACGAATTCCTTGATTGCAATCTGGCTCACGGGCCCGCCCTGCTCGCGTGTGGTGTTGCCAACGCCGTGGTGCGCGAAGGGGAAGTGCGAGAGGTCCACCACGTTCTCGCCCAGCACCTCGTAGCCGTATGCCAGGCGCCGGCAGTAGTGCGGCAGCACTGAGAACTCGCCCCAGTCCACGCCGCCCGGCAGGGGCAGCGGCGTCACTTCCGCCTGGTCGGCTGAGTGCTCGTCCGGCCACACGAAGAGGATGCCCTGGGGGGTTGGGGAGGGGTGAAGGGTGAAGGGTGAAGGGTGAAGGGTGAAGGGTGAAGCGTGAAGGGTGAAGCGTGAAGGGTGCGAGGTGCAAGGTGATGTGGCGCACGCTCACAAGACGTCAGTGAGACGTCTGTGTGAGCAACGCTAGCAGCACTGCCAACGTGCATGGTCAGCACCCTGGCGAGGAGTCATGGGGCTCTCACAGAGGCATGGGGCTCTCAAAGAGGCATGGGGCTCTCAAAGAGGCCCGGGGCTCTCAAAGAGGCATGGGGCTCTCAAAGAGGCACGGGGCTCTCAAAGGGGCATGGAGCTCTCAAAGACTCCCCTCACAAAAGCATCCAGCATGCGGCACTCACATGAAACTCCTTCACGGGGAAGGGCGTGGCGCAGGCGCGGGGGGAGGCGAGGGCGCGGGGCGGCTTGCCCGGCTGCTCTGGGGCGGCCTGGGGGATGAGCTCGCACGCCCCACTCCCTGCAAACGCCCACCCGTGGTACGAACACGCCAGCCAGCCGGATTCATCTATGCGGCCCTGCGGGGGATGAAGCGAGATGCGATGCAGGGAACGAGGGAAGGAGGTGGCATGTCAGAAAGACGGGAGAACGATGCGACCACGGCATGCCATGGGGCACGGCATGCCATGGGGGCGGTGGCGGTGAGAGCACGGCATGCCATGGGGGCGGTGAGAGCACGGCATGCCATCGGGGCGGCGGGACGGACGGTACGTGGCAGCGCGGGGAGACGAAGGCTGCATGGTGTGATGTGACGTGGGACGATGGCGCGCCCATGTCGATGGCGCAGGCGATGGTGGAGGCAGCAGGCAATGGTGGAGGCAGCAGGCGCGCGAGGCAGAGAGAACGTGTCGGCCTGACTTTCCTGGGACAAGAAAGAGGGCTCCGTCCGTGTGGCGCATGCATGGGCTACCTTTGATGAGAGCACTAGGCAGTGCGGGCATTGGTAGGAGAATCAAGTGAATGGAAAGGGTGACTGCCGGACTGCCCTCGAAAGTGTGGGCAGACGTTACCTCGGACAACGGCACGAGGCGGTGCGGGCATTGGTCGAGGAAGCATCGCCAGGAGTGGTGGGAGTCGCGCCACAGCACCAGCGGCCGCCCCACCACCGTCACGGCGTGCGGGCGGGTGGGGTCCATCTGCCCCGCCGCGCCCACGGCGTACCACGCCTTGCTCCACTCGAACGCCTCCCCCTCGCGCGCGCGCTCCACCACTGCAGACGCCCTCAGCTGCTCCTCCGCGCCGCCCGCTACAGTCACATCCGATCGGCTGCCCTCGCTGGAAGGCGACTCCGCCGCTAGCGCCGCCCTGGGGGCGTGGGGCGGCGGATGATTGGGCGGTCGCGAGTTGCGCCAGTGGGCGGACAGCGGCCGGCGCAAGCCGCTTAGCGCGCCGAGCTGAGGCGGGCGAGGAGCCATAGTAGGCGCGCCGAGGCGTGGTTGGCGCGGCTGCAGCGCGCGGACGAAGGGCCGGGCGTGGTGGCGCGGGGCGGGCGCACAGCGAGCAGTGGGTCCGGGGAGGGCGGAGCTGCGGCAACGGGGGGCGGGGAAAGGCGCGCAGGAGAGGGCACCAGGCGGAGTGACGCGGCAGCCTGCCGGCGGCGCCACGACGGCGGGCGCCATAGCAGTGCAACGAGAGCTCGTCGTCTGGAGCGAGCTGGCAGCGAATTCAACCGCGCTGCCACACACCGCGTGGCACGCTGGCAGCGCCGCACACGACACGACGTGCGGCTTCGCACACCCGAGGTGCTTCGCGCGATGCTGGTTCGCGGGCTGCAAGGCGAGGGCGTGTCGCGAGGGGAACGGTCACTCGGACGCGAGGAACAGCGGCATCTCGGACGAGTGGAATCAGCGCGCTTGCAGTCTCGCCTGCTGGGGCGGGGAGGCGATGCTTGTATGTGCCGCTGGCCGTCATGAGTCGGGCAGGCTTGCTGCTTGCTCAATCGCGGGGCAAGTAATGTACTGCTGAAAGGGCGTATATAAAGTGAATCACGCTACACGGTTCTGTTCGTTTCAGAATGGTTCTTCACCGAAAAAACTTATGGATTCTTGGTTCTTTAGGCGTGTCCAGCGCGTTCGTTTACTCACTTTACTCATGCGCGGGGGAAATTGTGCCCTCCATTTTTTTCCCCCTGGGTGGAGTCGCGGCGCGTAATGCGTATTCACGAAACCGGGCGGGGCCTCTTTCCCGTGGCGAACTCCGGTTACCCTGATGTTTTCGCGTGTTAGTCTGTTATGTGCGCGCTGCGCACCCACTCATTTGTCGAGGCACGGGCGGGGCTCGTGTCCGCGCGTTTTGGCGTACCTCAACACATTCACACTTGGCGTATCATTTTTCGAGGTGTTCAAAAAACGTCGAAAACTCGTGTCGGGGCAATCTAAACGCGCTGGACACGCCCTTACTGAATCACTTTATGCACGCCCTAAGAGATTTGGCACGGAGCTGGTGGGATGGCCCTGTGATTGTATGCAGGATTGTGGTGGAAGTGAGACTACGAGAGAACACTATCGCGAATTAGAATGACGCACTACCGCAAATACTGCACTACAATCTCTCACTGCACATAAAGCCCGCAGGAAGAGAACATGGTCAAGATCCTCCACAAGTATACATGTACATTGTTGTACGTTACCTAGTGGATGTTAACAAGGCTCGTGCGAAAACTTGCAAGCAGGATGTTACAATATACAAATAGCTACAAGTGAGCCCTCTATTGAATTATATATTATATATGTATATAATTATAGGCATGGTAGGTGTTACTGGATCCTACTGTAGATGGTAGAACCCCCCTTCATGTATCCCTCTCTCTTCTAGTCCAAACTCTCTTCTCTCTCAATATTTTTCCTCCTAGCATAAAACATTCTGCTATTCTAACACCCTCTTCCCAGAGGTTCGCAATGAAACATGTCAGCGTATGCCCCCAGCCCTAGGATATTCTCAAATGACTGTCCTTGTAACAGAGTGCTTGATAGCACAGTGGAAGTCTTGATGAACCCTTGTACTCAACCTGTATTCCCCCTGATAAAACACCCAGGGTGTTGGTAAAAACCCATGTAAAATTTCGATGGGGTATAATTAAAGGCACATTTTGTATAACGCCGGAGGTTATGGAATGACACTTTTATGTTCATGAAGTGGAATTGAACTGTATTGTAGACTGTTCTTTTGTGCCAAATTTTGACGATTCTTGCACATGATCGCGTATATGGTGAGGAGGACTATCGTCATGCCACAATGCAGGCAAACAGTCACAGGTTGCTTGCGTCACAAGTTGTCACCTTCTATCAGATCGTGGTGGCAAGTGGCTGTCAAACGTATCTTAGTAAGCTACTGTAGACTATACAGGTTTGTACCTTAGACGGTACAACTCTCTAGCTTATATTACCTTGTACCCTCCTATTCGAATTATTATTCAGTTGTAAGATGGTATCAGCAGTAGGTAGGTCCCGCTGCCCGCCCACGCTTCTGCACTCGGTCCTAGCCGCCCATTCCCCTAGACGCGCTGTTCCTAGCCAGCCGCGCGCCCGTTCCCCCCCGGCCCCTAGCGCCCGTTCCTGACGGCCCCTCGCGCCCGTTCCTGACGGCCCCTCGCGCTCGTCCTAGCCGGCCCTCGCGCCCGTCCTAGCCGGCCCCTCGCGCCCGTCCTAGCCGGCCCACGCGCTCGTCCTAGCCGGCCCTCGCGCCCGTCCTAGCCGGCCCCTCGCGCCCGTCCTAGCCGGCTCTCGCGCCCGTCCTGCCGGCCACTCGCGACCGTCCTAGCCGGCCCCCTCGCGCCCGTCCTCGTCGGCCCTCGCGCCCGTCGTAGCCGGCCCCTCGCGCCCATCCTAGCCAGCCCCTCGCGCCCGTCCTAGCCGGCCCTCGCGCCCGTGCACGCCGGCCCCTCGCGCCCGTTCCTGCCGGCCTCCTAGCGCCCTTTCCTAGCCGGCCCGTGCGTCCACCCCAGCCGGCCCCTAGCGCCCGTTCCCAGTCGGTCCCTCGCGACCGCTCTAGCCGGCCCCTCGCCCCCTAGCGCCCGTTCGAGCTGGCCCCTGCGCCCGTTTCCGCCGGCCCCCAGCTCCCGTCCTAGCCGGCCCCTCGCCCCCTAGCGCCCGTTCCAGCCGGCCCCTCGCACTCGCTCTAGTCGGCCCCTCGCGCACCCGTTCCAGCAGGCCCCAGCGCACCCGTTTCTAGCGGCCCTACTGCCCGGCCCGTCGCCGGCCTCCAGCACCGCACAGCACCGCACTGTACCGCTCTGCACCATACAGCACCGCACTGCACCGCACAGCATCGCACTGTACCATTCTGCACCGCACAGTACCGCATTGCACCGCACTGCACCGCTCTGCACCGCACAGCACTGGTCCGCACCGCCTTGCACAGCACTGCACCGCTACTGCATCGCTCCTGATGGCGGACCCCGTGCTCCGCTTCGACGCAGAGGGCCAGCCGCTCGAGTTTGACACATGGCTGGTCGACCTTCGCCACCACCTCACTGGTCAGCGGCAGGACGGCCACTCCCTGGCGGTCCACCTTGACGGTATGCTCCCCTGCCCTGACCCCCCTGCTCCCCTGCCTGTTGACCCCTCGTCCGCTGACCGTGAGTCCGCCGCAGCTGTTGCCCTTGCCCGCTCAGTCTGGCTATCGCGTGACGCCGTCGCGCAGCTTGCGATCAGTCATGCCCTCCCCCTGTCTGAACGCCCCCACTTTAGGTCAGTCACGACTGTGCAGGAATTCCTTGATGCCGTGGTCAAGCGCTATTCCACCCCGCTTGCTGCCTCTGTAGGTCGCCTGATCCTACCGATGCTTTTCCCTGACCTTGCGTCTTTCCCTACTGTCGGTGACCTCGCTGCTCACCTGCGCACAATAGACGCAACCTGGCGTGCTACCTGCACTGACACTCAGCTTAGAGCCTTTCAGCCGCCCCTCTGCTCTGCCCTCTACCTGCTTGCCACCCGCCTCCCTGACCGTCTTCCCACTGCCCGCGACCGCTTCCTTAGCATCCACCCCGGTGACCTCACCCTCACTGACTTTGTGGACACCCTGTCTGCCATAGAGACCCGCCAGCGCTCTATCGCCCAGACCAGCGGTACTGTGTCGGTCCCTATCTTTCAGAGTTGTGCCCCCGCTCAGTGCACCTTCTCCGACAGTTCTGCTGCTGTGGCTGAGTCTGCCGCTGCAGCGCTGATCCGTTCCGGGAAGGGCCGCCGCCCCAAGACTGGGCGCACCGGTGGGGGTGGCGGTGCAGGTGGAGGTGGTGGTGGAGTCGGGTCGCCTAGTGGTAGCGCTGACGAGCGGACCCTGATAGGTGTAGCCGAGCAGCCGTCTCAGCAGCCGCAGGTGTCGCAGCCGGACAAGCACCAGCCGCAGCAGCAGCCCTCGCATCAGCCGCAGCAGCTGCAGCAGCCGCAGCAGCAAAGGCGGGTGGGTGGTCTCCCGCCCGGGTGGCATGGTGCTGGTGGTGGCGCTGTATGTGGTAGTCTTGCGCGTGGTGGACTGTCAGGTGGCGGTTTGGGTGACGGACGCTGTCAGTACCAGCTCCAGACCTGTCCTCGCCCTGGCTTCGTTTGCGGTAAGATCGGTCACACCTCCGTCCGCTGTTTCCGTTGCCTGGACGACCTCTTTCGTCAGCGCTTCGGCCCGTCGCCCGACCTCCCTGACTGGCACAGCTTGCTTCGCCGTAGTGTTCAGATCTTTGATACAGACATGGATGAGATTGTTGCTGCCCTGCATGTAATGTATGCTGATGATTCTAGTGTGACTACTTCTTACTACCCCTTGTTGCCTAGTGTAGGCGTGTCTAGTCGTGCCTCCCCTGCTGCGTCAGGCGTAGGATCCCCTGCTTTGTTTAGCCTTGGTTCTTCCGTCGCTGCTCTGACTCCGGCCGCCGCTGCTGCGCTCTCCTTCTACCTGGACTCTGGCGCTTCCCGGTGTTTCTTTCGCGACTCCACTACGCTGACCCCGCTTCCTGCTCCTGCTACAGTTTCTCTTGCTGACCCCTCCTCCGGCCCGGTAGTCGCCCGCAGTTCCACCACCCTTCCCTGTCCGGCGGTTCCTTCGGGCTCTCTTAGAGGCCTGCACATCCCCTCGTTCTCCAGGAACCTAGTTGGTGTCGGCTGCCTCCAGCACCTTGGCGTCACCACTACGTTCCCTGGTCACGAGCGGTACGCTGTCTGTACCGAGGCCGCAACTGGTGCCCCCCTCGCCACGTTCCCCCGGGACCCGGTGTCCGGATTGTTCACACTGGACACCGCGACCCCCTCGGTTGGGACGTCACCTCAGGTGGCTGCGTCTACCCAGGTTGCCGGTGCCTGCTCCTGTCGGTCGCTCACTCACCTGACACTCCTGTGGCACCACCGTCTAGGTCACCCTGCACTCCCGCGTCTGCGTGACATGTCCCAGCACGGTCTTGTCCTAGGTCTCCCAGGGTCGTTCCTTGAGTTGCCCTCCTCCCCAGCGCCACCGTGCACGCCCTGTGTCAAGTGTCGGCTTCGCCGTGCCCCTCACTCCTCCTCGTTTTCCCCTACCGCCGCACCACTACAGACTCTACAAATGGACGTCTGGGGCCCCGCCCCCGTCCATGGGCCGCGTCGAGAGCGTTACTTCCTTGTGCTTGTCGATGACTACACCCGCTACACCACGGTGTTTCCCCTGGAGCGGAAGGCCGACGTGCCTGCCGTTCTCATCCCGTGGCTTGTCTCTGCGCGTGTCCACCGCGGTCTCCCTGTCTTGCGTCTTCACTCCGACCATGGTGGCGAGCTTGCCTCTGGTGTCCTTGGTCGTTTCTGTTGTGCGGAGAACATCACCCAGACGTTCACCTTTCCGAACTCTCCGCAGCAGAATGGGGTCGCAGAGCGACGCATTGGTTTGGTCATGGAGGTGGCTCGCACCTCCATGATCTATGCCAGTGCACCCCATTTTCTGTTGCCGTTCGCCGTTCGCTACGCCGCTCACTAGCTGAACCTGTGGCCGCACCCCCAGCAGCCGCAGGTTTTCAGACTGCATTGGTATCGCTCCACATTGGCTTGAGGCACAACACCTGCATCATACACCTCCCTCACTCCCTCTTCTCCCTCCCCTCCCTCGCCACCCTCACTCTCTCACACCTCTCTAATGTTCCCACCATCCCCCACTCCCTCTCCCTCTTCGCTCCCTCCCTCACTCACTTACACATCTCTCACTGCCCCCTGCTGACCTCCCTCCCCTCCTCTCTCTGCCTGCACTCCTCCCTGCAATCGCTCCTCATTCAAGACTGTAATTCGCGTGTAGCCATCATAGATGAAGGATCAGAAGAGGCAGGGGATACGAAGGGAGGGGATCATGAGGAAGAACAGGGGAAGGAGAAGGAGGGAGAGGAGGGAAAGGAGTATGAGGGAGATAGGGGGGAGGAGGATGAGGAAGAGCAAGAGGAGGAGGAGGAGGAGGAGGAGGAGGAGGAGGAGGAGCAAGAGGGGGAGGGGGAAGGGCACGAGGAGGTGCCAGTGGCGAAGAAGCAGAGGGGCTCTCTAGGAACGCCTAGTCCAAGACATTCCTTGGCGTCCAGGCTTTCGTTGCGGATCCCTGCAACTCCTCCCGTCAACCATCGGCCTTCTGCCCCGCCTCACCCCCCTCCGTCTCCACCAATTGGACCTCGTTACCCTTCCCCACTCTCTTCCCCTCCTTCCACCGACTCCGCAACCTCCTTGGCTCATTTCCCCAGCTTCCCCGTCTGTCTAGGTTAACCATAGAAGACTGCTTAAACTTTGAGCGGTTACCAGCTGATCTGGGGTCGCTTACATTGCTTGAGTGGTTGCAGCTGATATGCTTGCCCAGGCTGGCTGGAGTGCCCAAGTCTTTGAGGGAACTGCCAAGGCTTTTGCAAGTGGAGTTCCGATACTGCCATGGAATGGAAGGTGCCCCGGAATGGCTAAGAAATAAGTCAGACATAGACCTGATCGCTGAAGACTTTGAACGGCCTTGGCCACTCTATTAGTTTTGTTCAGCCTCACTCAATCGGCATTATTTTGATCAATGTGGTAACATGAAAAAATATTCACCAAAAAAATTACAGATTGTGATTCGATTTGAAGAGGAGTTTTGCTGTAGAGACCACCTCCTTCACATTCTCGCAGGTCTGATGGACCTGCCACCTAGCCTCATAATGATTTCTCTTCTGTGATTGCTCCCACCCCCCTCTCCCACTTTCCTAGCCGGCATCTGCCTGTTTAGCTTCGTCCTTTAGAACATCCATGCACTTCTAACTAGTGTGCTGTATCATTGAGATATGAAATGCTATGACGAGTGCACTGCACACTCCTCTGAAAGTCGTGTTACAATCCTGTCGAGTATAATGTCAACTTATACATACATTTGCATGAAGAAGTTTTAGGCTCGAATAGCTGTATGTTCTTAGAGAGTACAACCCAACCCTACATCTTGCTTGTTCTCTCTTGTTTCCATCATTCTAGTATTCTAACATGGTATCATGAGTAGGTTAGGTCCCCCCCCACCCGCTTCCGCCCCGCGCCCTAGCCTACCACGCCTCGCCGGCCCCTAGCACGTCCGCCGGCCCCTAGCGTGCCCGCCGTCCCCTCGCGCCTAGCCAACCGCTTCGCGACTAGCCGGCCCCTCTCGCGCTGTAGCGGGCCCCGCGCGCCGTAGCCGGCCCCTCGCGCCTAGTCGGCCTCTCGCGCCCAGCCGCCCCCACCCCCTCCCCACCCTTTCGCGCCTCGTTGCCCCCCTCGCGCCCTAGCCGGCCCCTCGCGTCCTAGCCGGCCCCTCGCCCCGTCGCCGGCCCCTTGCGCCCTAGCCGGCCCCTTCGCGACCAACCGGCCCTCCCTCGCGCCGTAGCCGACCCCTCGCACCGTCGCCAGCCCCTCGCACCGTCGCTGGCCCCTAGCGCCCTAGCCGGCCCCTCGCGCCCTACACGCTTTCGATATCCCGACCCCTCGCACTTACGTTGAGGCGACCTCGGGACCCTGGACCTCTTAGTGGATAGCTGCCATGGAGCAAGAGATGGCATCTTGGAGATCCACCGGCACCTACGTCGACGCAGTTCCCCCACCTGGGGTGAACATAGTCGACGGCCGATGGCTTTTCAAGGTGAAGTGCCCCCCTAGAGAGCCGCCTTTGTTCAAGGTGTGCTACGTGGCTAGAGGCTTCAGTCAGCGAGAGGGGGTGGACTTCTTTCAGACCTTCGCCCCGACCTCGAAGATGACTACTCTTCGGGCGCTGCTACACGTAGCAGCACAGCGTGACTATGAGCTCCACTCCCTCGACTTCTTCACTGCTTTTCTTCAGGGCAGCCTACACGAGCAGTCCAGGGGCTTTACTGGTACCTTCCCTCCTAGGACCCAGTGGCTCCTCCGGCACCCTGTCTACGGCCTGTGACAGGCTCCCCGCGAGTGGCACGACACGTTGCGTGCTACGCTAGCTGACCTGCATTTCTTTCCATCCTCTGCAGACCCTTCGCTCTTTGTTCATGCTGGCCAGACTCCGTTCTACATCCTTGTCTTTGTAGATGACCTGGTCTTTGCTACTGCAGACAGAGACGCGCTGGCCTCCGTGAAGGCCGAGCTGCTGAGGAGACACACCTACACTGACCTAGGAGAGCTGCGCCGCTACCTTGGCCTGCAAATCTCCAGGGATAGAGTTGCACGCACCATCGCTCTCACACAGTCACGCTTGGTGCGCCACGTCCTTCAGAGGTTCGGTCTTCAGTTCTCCTCTGCACAACCCTCACCTCTACCAGTAGACCACAGGCTCTCGGCTCCAGTTCTTGAGGAGTCAGCAGAGCCCAGTGGTCCTTACGCAGAGCTGGTGGGTTACCTCATATACCTGATGGCTTGCACTCGTCCAGATCTCGCATACCCTCTCAGCATCCTGGCTCGCTTTGTGGCCACCGGCAGACACTGACCACAGCAATGGTCGGCTACTAAGAGGGTTTTGCATTATCTAGCGAGTACATCGGGCATGGGGCTAGTGCTAGGAGGACGCAGGCGGTGGTCCTTACTAGGCGCACAGACGCTTCTTGGGCAAACGTCGCTGAGACCCCCAGGTCCTCCCAATGCTACTGCTTTAGCCTTGGTTCAGGTGCCATCTCGTGGAGGTCCACTCGCTCCTCATCTATTGCCCAGTCTAGCTGTGAGGCTGAGATCTATGCCGGTGCCATGGCGGCACAGGAGCTCCGCTGGCTGACGTTCTGGCCTACCGACTTAGGTGAGCGGCCTAACTCTGCCCCAGTCCTGTACGCTGACAATATGGCCATGATCCTCTTGTGTCAAAAGCCTCGACTTGAGGGCAGAGTGAAGCACATCCAAATGCTGTACTTCCTCCTACGTGAGCTACAGCAGCGCCGCCAGGCCTGTGTAGTCCACTTGGGCCTCCGGTGCCAGCACAGCTGATATCTTTACGAAGGCGCTTGCGCCTAAAGATCATCTATGGCACTGCTTGCAGCTTGGTCTAGTTCCGGTAGACTCTCACTTGCTAGGACCTTGATTGTGTACTCCTCTTTATATATATCTCTCCCTCACTGGCCTTGTCACTCCTCTTCCAGTGGCCAGAGTAATAGTGCCGCCCTGGTTTGCTTCTGTCTTGTTTGCACTCTTGCTGATTGGCCTTCGGATCCTTGTCTCAGAGGTTGGACTAGTAGTGCCACCCTGAGCTGTGTGCGTCTTGCTCAACACTACCCCTTATCTAGCATAGGGGGTGTGTCAACCTATACATACATTTGCATGAAGAAGTTTTAGGCTAGAATAGGTGTATGTTCTTAGAGAGTACAACCCAACCCTATATCTTGCTTGTTCTCTCTTGTTTCCATCATTCTAGTATTCTAACATATAATTGTAAGGAAATGGTATTTCCTTATCACGGGTTTTAGTCAGTAAAGCGTACACTGCTATAACAGGGTTACCGCGTAGCTCTTCCACGAAATTCAAATTGCGGTCCCAAATGTGGTCTCCTGACAAGCTGCATGCATTATTGCCGGCCTTGCTGTTGCATGCCTAGATCTGGGCGCTTCGCTCCATTTTACGAACCACACGTCGCAACTTTGCCAAGCCACAACGACAGTGTGCTCCTAGGCTAGCTATATCCATGCTCCCTGCTGTTTTGAAGTTTCCTGTGTTGTATTGTTTCCTCGTTGTTGGAAATTATAAAATGACTTAAGGCATTTCCGGGGTCTCGCGTGAGTGTACGAAATATGCGAAGACTACCACAACAGCGAGGATTACCGAATCAACACTGCTACAGTACCCCTGACGATTCACACAAATTGACGACACCTCACAGAGGTTGCGAAAGGGCAACGGTCGCAGACCGTTGACCGTGCAACTCAACAGCCAGAATCGCAAGCGTCAAGAGTCTGCGCGACAGCAAGGACAAATAACCTTCCCGATATTACAGTACGGGTGGTTACCCGAGTAGCCTTATCGAGTCGTAATAGGGGAATGTACCCCTTGAAGTGCACAAACAGCTAGACTCTTCATGTCCTCTTGTATTACTAAATAAAATTGTATCCCTTTGCTATACTTAATCACTTGTTCTCATATACCAATTCAAGGGTTCAACTCAAGACTTCCGCTGTGCTATCAAGCACTCTATTACAAGGACTTTGCATTCTGAAAAGATCCTAAGGCTATTGTCAGCCCAACATGGTATGAGAGACTGTCAGAAGCTACGCTCCTGTCACAAACTCCCTCAGTGAGTTTCTAACTCGTTTGAAGAATCAAGTACAACAACTTCAGTTATCAACTCGACATTACAAGACATGGCACCATCTAAGGATAACGGATCCTCAGCTGGATCCCGTTCTGCACCCCCAGTTTCCAGACTCCAGACTGAGGTAGTTGCAGCTACGGGAGCTTCCACTCAACCAGCGGCCTCCTCCACGGGCATGGACCCGAATCGGATGAAGAAATTCTTCTCCTTCATGTCGACCTAAGAGGAACCATCGGCACCTGCTCAATCTGCACACATTAACAACAACAACGGGACAGCCCCCATGAGTCTCAACGGCGCGTCATATGCAAGAGGCATACCACCTACACAGCATCAACCGTACCAACCTTCGCCAGGCTCATTCACGACGGCTGACAAGCAGTCAGACATCGTTACCATGCAACAGCAGTTTAACAACATCCTGAAACTGCAGACGTCCTCACCTTTCAACGGGAAGGACTTCTTCGCCTGGAGCTTCGAGTTTGAATTGCTGATGGACGGCATGCAAATCCTCAACTTCTTGACTGGCTCCTGGCCATTTCCTGTAACTACTCAGGAAAAGAAAGTCTATACCTATCAGTCGCTGATGGCCTTCACCATTCTCTTGCGCAATCTGACAGCAACAGAGCAGCAGAGCATCCGAACATATCGCAACTTCGGCAACTCGGCAGAATTGGCATACTGCAATCTGAAGAGTGTATATCAGGCAACCGACAGCGTGACACAGAGTCGGCTAATGGCGCAACTCACGACAATCCAGATGCAACAAGGAGAAAAGGCTGCATAGGCTTACGCGAGGCTTACGAAGCGGAGGGCACTTACAGCCTTACATCAATCCCTGCAGAGGCTTCCGCGACAAACTCTTACGAAGCGGAGGGCACTTATCGGAAGATTCGTTCATCACGGTCGTCCTCA